GTCTATCTGCCTTCCATCAACAAGTTCTTCAATACTGGAAACTGGTGTTCAAGCATAACTTTTCTCCACACAACATGCCTATCTGGAACAATCGCTGTATTTTATTTAAGAAAAAATCACTATTTATGGAAGAATGGCTGAAGAAGGGGATTTGGTCTATTGCTTATCTAATGGTAAAGGTAATTTATTCACCTACTCTGAAGTATCTATGAAATTTAACTTGTCTTCATCAAGAAATACATAGGAGGGGATTATTCACGCTGTTCCCTTCCAGCTTAAACAGATGGTGTCACAGGATATTCTGTACTCTTCTGTCAATCCGGTACTATGTCCTTTAAAGATCAGCAACATAAATGGGTTTGATAAGCAATGTTCTAACTCCTTTATCAGAGCTCAGCTTCTTAATACATGTTATCCTTCACCTGCAAGAAGAAACTATGTATTTGATGGTCTTTCAGGCCATATGGCTTGTGAAATAAGAGATACATCTCATTCCCCATAATTCCTAAAGCCAAAGAGGTGCATTTCAAGATGTTGAATGAATTCTACCCCTCTAAAGAATTCTTACGATTGAAATTTAATATGGATGAGGCTGCTGTACTTTTTGCATCTCTGAGACAGAGACCACAGCAGATCGCTTGTTTTTCTATTGTAATGGTACATTTAACTTTTGGGCATGTTTAAATGACTGGCTCAGGTCCAAAATTGATTTCTTAGCACCCTTTACTTTAGAAAGCATTAAATTTGGTATATCTCTAAAAGAAAAAGATGTGGATTTCTTAGTCAATAACTTTATAATTTTGGCAAAATATTATATTTGTAAATGTAAATGGAGTAAAAGGCAATCTTGTTTATATACGTTGAGGCATGAAATATCTGCATTTAAAAAATCCCTGGACCGAGGTCTTTTGTCTGCAATTGGATGATTTATTATAAGCCCCTGGCTATATGTTTTAATTAATTTCTTCTTTCGGCTGTTCCCATTAGAAGTCACCACAGCGAATCATCTGTTTCCACCTAACTCGATCCTTGACACCCTCTACTCTCACACCAATTAACTTCGTGTCCTCTTTTAGCACATCCATATATCTCCTCGTTGGCCTTCCTCTTGACCTTTTGCCTGGCAGCTCCATCTCCAACATCCTTCTACCAGTATAACCACTATCCCTCCTCTGCACATGTCCAAACCATCTCAATCTGGCCTCTCTGACCTTGTCCCCAAAACAGCCGACCTGAGCTGTCCCTCTGATGTGCTCATTCCTAATCCTGTCCATCCTGGTCACTCCTAAAGAGAGCCTCAAGATCCTCATCTCTGCTACCTCCACCTCTGCCTCTTGTCTTTTCCTCACTGCTACAGTCTCTAACCCATACAGCATAGCTGGTCTC